CATTCCTCACAGAACTAGAGAAAACAATCCTAAAATTTATATTGAACCAGAAGAGACATAGAATAGCAAAAGGCAAACCTGAGCAGCAAGGGTAAAGAGGGAGGCACCACAATCCAGAATTTCAAGTTGTATTACAAAGCCACTGTGATAAAAACAAGATGGTACTAGCACAAACACAGACATGTGGATCAATGGAATAGAACAGAGTTCAGAAACAATCCAGGCACATTCAGCCATCTGATCTTTGACAAAGGGGCCAAAAACATACACTGGAGGAAAAATAGCCAGGCGTTTTGTTTTTTTTTTTGGTACTGGGGATTGAACTCAGGTCCTTCCTTGTGCCTGTGGAACAGGCGGTGGAACCACTGAGTTAAATCCCTGGTCCAATAGCCAGGCTTTTTAACAAATGATGCTAAGAAAACCACCTATCCGCATGCAGAAGATTGAATCCAGACCCATATCTCTCACCATGTACTAAAATAAAATCAAAATGAATCAAAGCCCTAAATATTGAAACAAAAACACATAATCTGCTGGAAGATAAAATAGGTAAGACTCTTGAAGACAGACACAGGAAAAGAATTTCTGAACAGAACCCCAATTGCACAAGAAATAACATCAAGAATCAACAAATGGGATTATATCAAATTTAAAAGCTTCTGTACAGCAAAGGAAACAACTAATAGAGTGAAAAGACAATCTAGAGAGTGGGAAAGAAAGTTTTCCAGCTACTCTTCGGACAAAGAACTAATATCTAGACTATATAAGAACTCAAAAAAATTAGATCCCCAAAAATAAAAGACCCAGTCAAAAAAAGGGGAACTGGAATGAATAGATAGTTCTCAGAAGAAGTACAAATGATCGATAAATTTATGAAAAATTGTTTAACATCTCTGGCCATTAGAGAAATGCAAATTAAAACAACACCGAGATTCTACTTTACTCCAGAAAGAATGACTACCATCAAGAAATCAAATAACAAAAAATGGTGGTGAGGCTGTGGGTAAAAAAGAACCCTTCTACATTGTTGGTGGGAATATAAACTAGTATAAACAATATGGAAATCAGTATGGAGATTCCTCAAAAACTAAAAATATAAATTCCATTGACTTTTTAAAAAAATCTTCTTTGTGTTTCTAATGTTGCATGGCATTAAGGATGTTTTAAAATTAAGAACATGGCCAGGTGAGGTGGTGCATACCTATAATCCTAGCACTCGGGAGGCAGAGGTAGGAGGATTGCCAAGAGTTTGGGCCCAGTCCGGCCTAAGTAGCAAGCTCAAGCCCAGCCTGAACTAAATAGCGAGACCCTGTGTCAAAACACAAAAACAAAAAAATTTACAACATGCACATCATAAAAAAAAAGCTTTAAATGGCACAAAAGGTAATGGAAGATCTGAGCAAAAGGCAGTTATTTTTCTTTCCTCCAGGTTATAAAATTGCTTTCTACCATTGTGAAAGTTATGAGTTTTTGTTCAAAATTATATAGCTCCTCTTTTCATGTGACAGTTTTTATGGTAGGATACAGCAAATCATTTAGTTGCGATACTTTGAAACCTTGCATGTCATTCAGTGACTCTGATCTCCCTGGCTTGCAGCTCCAGAGCACCCAGCTTTCCAAAGTCTCTTGCAAACCCTGAGTTTGGTGCTGTGGTCTAGGTGGGCACAGACACAGGAACCCATCTCCGACGTTGCTCAGGTCTCTCCCCCTCCAGTGTGCATGCTAGGAAAGCATCATTTTAGACCAGATTTTGATGACTGATAGTTATCATTTAAAAGGCCATGCTTTTTAAAAAATCAATTCTTCATGACAGGCATTATTTGGCATTTAATCCTTTTAAGAGCTTACCCCCTAAATCAATACTTATCGTTTCTATTTTACAGATGATGAGGCTGTAGCTCAGAGAAGTTAAGTATCTTGTCTAGGTTCACACAGCCAAGATGAGGGAGCCAGGATTCAGATCTCCCAAATAGAGCTAGACTTAGTACTCAAAACTGTTGAACTACACCCCGAATCCAAGATTACTTTTTGCCCACTTGGGAATCCTGAACTTGGCTCTGCCTGTAAGATAAAGATTAGGTGCCTTTCTTTTATTGGACTGACAATTATTGTTTTCATTTAGTTGGGAAAAGTATTGAATCTTGTTGTTAGCAATCACAAAAACTATTCTATTTTATTTATTTATTTATTTATCCTTTTTTTTTTTTTTCTCCTATGATCGAACTCAGGACCTTGCACTTGCGAGGCAGGCATGGTGCCACTGAGCTAAATCTCTGGGGCCCCATATTGCCATTTTATAACTTCTACATTTTGTGTTGAATATTATTTAAATTCTGTTCTCATTGGCCAGATAATTTTTAATTTACAAAAGAATATTTTTACCCAGATGATCTCTATTATCACCGACTAGAAAACCAACCGATGATAAGAAAAACTCCTTTTTGGTTTTTTTTGGTACTGGGGATCGAACTTGGGACCTTGTGTTTGCGAGGCAGGCAGCGGAACCACTGAGCTAAATCCCCGGGCCCAAAAAAACTTCTTTTTTTATGTGACTGACAAAGCTACATAAGTAAAGGCTAAGTCTGTGCTATCCAATAAGTAGTCACATGTGGTTACTGAACAGTTGAAGTATGGCTAGTTTGGATTGAGATGAATGTTAAGTGCATGAAGACTTGGGACACAAAAAGGAATGTAAAATATCTTGTTAGCAACCTTTGCATCAATTATATGTTGAAAAGATAAATTTTTTTTGGAGTCAGGGTCTTGCTCTATAATTGCAACTGGCCTTGAACTCACTATGTAGCCCAGGCTGGCCTCAAACTAGTGGCAATCGTCCTGCCTCAGTCTCTTTGCCATTTTAATGTGGTTACTAGAAACTAAATTACACTTGGTTTCATGTATTTCTACTGGACACTGCTAAATTAAGTGATTACTAGGAACTTTTTAAAAAGTATTAGTGTGAGTGGGATCCACCAGTTCATAGCATATATGTTCATTGGTAAAGGCATTTTTTCCCCCAGTGAATTATCTATATAATGACAATTCTACTGTTTTCTCAAAGTTCTGGCCTGTTAGATTACTGCTGTTTTCATAAGATCCTTGGGAAAAGACATTTCTCGTTAGAAGAAATTATCAGATTGATTGTTCACTGCTCAGAAATGTGGGTCTGGTATAACATGTTAAGAACAGAGTTACTCTTGTGGGTTTCAGAGCAGATGGCATGATTCTGGGCAGTGGGCACTTACGCCGGTCACCCATCTCTACAAGAGAGGTGATAGTTTACAGCTCCGCAGTGGGAAGCCAAAGGGCACCCACGAGTTCATTACATAATTCTCGGGAGCATGAGGCCAAGTGTGTAGCTGCTCTGGGGAAGGGTCAGAGGCTGACAGGCGGACCGAGGTGGTCAGAAGGATGTTTTGACAAGAGTGTGTGCTAGCGGCTGTTTGTTTGGAAAAAGGCTGACTGGCCCCCTCCCCCTCCTTTTAACTGCTTGGGCATAATACTGAATGACTTTGTTTTTAAGCTGCCTTAGCCTTGCTTTGATTAAAAAAAAAAAAAAGCTTGAGTATTCTTTCCCTGTAGAGTCCAAGTTGTTATTTCTGGAACAGAGGCTCTTAGCCTGATCGCTGTCTAAATCAATTTCTGTTCCTGGTAAGGCCTCGGTCAGTGACAGCACAGCACCCAAAGTCGTCCATGGAGGACAGAGTCATTGCTTCCTTGGGCAATGATGTAGCAGCTGCAGAAATTTCCCTGTGTTGCTGTCCACACAACTTGGCAGCCCACTACTTAGGTTGTGCCCCTGGGACAGCCATGACCACGTGCTGTGGAGTAGCATGCTGTCTGTGGGGTCATGGAAAATTCTTGCTTCATTCAAAGCCCACACTCCCAGGAGATTCCTTTCATAGATCTACTGCAGAAATACGGCCTTTCTTGCTTAAAGATATGTGTGGGGTCAAAATGACACTCCCCTCTCTTTTTAACCCGAGGTACATAATGTCACTGACTTCTCTTGTTTTGTTTTGTTTTGTTTTTTTGAGACAGCATTTCACTATGTAGCTCAGGCTGGCCTTGAGCCCACTGTGTAGCCCAGGCTGGCCTCGAACTCACGGAGATTCTCCTGCCCCAGCCTCCTGAATACTGTAAGATAACAGGTATGTGCCAACATGCCTGGTGTTATAGCTGGCAGATTTCTGCAGGCTCCACAGGGTACCCCAAGAGCTATGACTTGAGTCCCCAGTGTCTCTGTGAGCATGTTTCAGGACTCAAAGTTCAGAGGCTCCTCTTCTGGGTTGATTGATTGATTGACTGATTTAACAACACTGGGGATTGAACCCAGGGCCTTCACACTGAGCTATATCCCCAGCCCTACCTTTATTTTTTATTTTCAGACAAGATCTCATTAAGTCAATAAGTTCCCCAGGCTGAGTTCGAATTTGTGATCCTCCTACCTCAGCCTAACAGAGTGCTGGGATTTTAGGTGTGTGCCACCACCCCAGGTCGGAGCATCCTCTTCTGTGCCCTCCTCTGTGTGTGTCAGGTTGCTAGGCACCAGGAGGAAACTGCTCTAACATTATTCCAGGATTTAACCAAGCCTGAGCCTGGTAAGAAACAGGCAACATCGGAATAATTTAAAATACTGCTCCCTTATTTTGAAAGCTGGTAGCCAAATATGCAGAGCCAGGTAACTGGAGAAAGGCCCCACGATAAATGGGCTGAGGGGGAAAAGGTGATGCTGGCAACTTTGACCTTGTGGATGGGAGCGTGACCTTTCCTATGCCGGCCACTAACTGGCTATACATAGCCAGGCAAAGCTTCTTACGGGAGAAACCTCTTTCGCACCCTCCGGGGTCCCACAGGCAGGCCAGCTAACTTGCTGCAAATCCCTGGGCAATTAGTTCATCTCAGAAGCTAACAGCCAGCTGGTTGCCAGCCCCGACGACAGTCCTCCACGCTGCCCTCCCACCTTCCGTGCTTTCCCTGGGGGCTCCCGGTGCTCAGCCATGGTGGACACGGGGGGCCTGGACAACCTGATCGCCAGCACGGCCTACCTGCACGCCCGCAAGCCCTAGGACTGCAACAGCCGGGAGCTGCGGCGGTGGCGCTGGAGCCTGGCGCTGCCCGGGCCACAGGACTGTGCCGAGCTCCGCCGTGAGCTGGTTCTCGCGCTTCGACACCCTGTGCGAGCTGCAGCCCATCGGCCTCCGCCTCTTCCGAGACTTCCTGGCCAAGGTGCCGGTGTACCGAGAGGCATCCGCCTTCCTGGAGGAGGTGCAGGCCTGAGAGTTGTCCGAGCCCGGGCCTGCCAAGGACGTCGCACTGCAGGGGCTGCTGGCCACTTGTGTCCCTTCCCCAAGTGGCCCACACCCCTTCCTCAGCCTGGCACTGGTCACCAGGTGCCAAGCAGCCACCACCAAAGAAGAGTGTGTGGCCGTAGTGCCCCTAGCCAAGGCTGGGGCCATGGGCTTCTTGCAGGAGCAGCCCTTCAGGGACTTCCTGGCCAGCCCCTTCTACGACAAATTCCTGCAGTGGAAGCTCTTTGAGATGCAGCCAATATCCAGCAAGTACTTCATCGAGTTCCGAGTGTTGGGGAAAGGTGGTTTTGGGGAGGTAAGTGTCCCTGGATACCAGGCCAGAGGGTAAGGTATAAGGCCCAAAAGCAGAGTGTTTTGCCTTTTTCTTTGTTCTATCTCAAGGGAACATATTTAGAACTAATTTCAGTACCACATGGGAAGATTCCTGGCTCGTTCCTCCCACTCCTTCTTTCTAGTTACCATGTAAAATAAATACAAATGGTGCTAGAGATGCAAAATGTGGACTTGGCCAGGAATCTTTTTTTTTTTTTTTTTTTTTTTGGTACTGGGGATGGAACTCGGGACCTTGTGGTTTTGAGGCAGGTGGTGGAACCACTGAGCTAAATCCCCAGCCCTTGGCCAGGAATGTTTATTATGGGGTCAACCTCAGGAACATGCTGAAATCCCCCAGACACTTTGCAGAATGACAGCAACCTGCTGTGTACATAGAATACCTTTTCTCCTTAGCAGTGGCCGTGCAGGTAATTTGAGAAGAGTGGATATCTAAGAAAATGTGCATCCTAAAGGAAAGTCAAGAACTTGCTTTGTGCCACTACTGTGCTCAGCTTTTTAAAGTAGAAAACTATTTTATTTTACAAAATTCACACAACATAAAATCAACCATTAACAATTTTGAAGTGCACAATTGAGTGGCATTTGGCACACTGAGTGATGTATAACCATCGCCTCTGCCTAATTCCAAGACATTTTCGTCACCCCAGGACCCATTAACAACCACTCTCCACTCCCACTTCTTCTGGCGCCTGGCAACCACTAGTCTGCTTTCTGTCCCTGGGAATTTGCCTATTCTGGATATTTCATACAACATGCGACCTTTGGGATCTGGCTTCTTTCAATGGTCATAATGTTTCAGAGGTTCATTCACACTGTAGCATGAATCAGTACTTCACTGCTGTGGCTGGACAATATTCTGTCCTGAGAATTCGCCCCTGGAGGTTTATCCATTCCTCTGCTGATGGGCTGATGGACACTTGGGCTGCTCCCACCTTTTGGCTGTTGTCCATGGTGCTGCTAGGAACATTCACGTACAAGTATTCTGGGTTTCTTTATTTATTTTTTAGTTTATTTATTTTGCAGAGCTGAGTATCAAACAGGTATTTGTTTGAATACTTGTTTTCATTTCTCTTGGGTATATGCCTACAAGTAGAATAGCTGGGTCATATGGAGGTTCTGTGATTAATATTTTTAAGGAGCCATCAAAGTCTATTCCACATTTTATATTCCCACCAGAAAAGCTTGAGGGTTATAATTTCACAACATCCTTGCCAACATTTGTCATTCCCCTTCTACCCCACTCCTGTTTTCTTATGCTATTGATTGAGCTGATGACCTTGTGCATGTTAGGCAAGAACTTACCACTTAGTGGCCCCCAGCTGGTCCCTCCTTTTTTTTTATTATGGCCAGCCTAGTGGAGTGAAGTAGTGTCTTAGCTGTGAGTTGTAGCATCCTAGTCCTGTGCTTTCCTGAGAACCCTTCGTCCTCACAGCTGCCCTTCCCTCCAGCCCTCTGTTTACCCTGCTGATCTCCACACATGCCCCTTCCTCGTCCTTTATGCCACCTTTCTCCAGTGTTGTCTGCTTTCACCTCATCCTCTCCCTTTGTTTCTTTCTTTCCCTTCAGGTGTGTGCCATCCAGGTGAAAAACACTGGTAAGATGTATGCCTGTAAAAAACTGGACAAGAAGCGGCTGAAGAAGAAAAATGGGGAGAAAATGGCTCTCCTGGAAAAGGAAATCTTAGAAAAGGTGAACAGCTTTTCATCGTCTTGCTGGCCTACGCCTTTGAGAGCAAGTCCCATCTCTGCCTGGTCATGACCCTGATGAACGGGGGTGACCTCAAGTTCCACATCTACAACGTGGGCACCCGGGGCCTGGCCTTGAGCCGGGTGGTCTTCTACTCAGCCCAGATGGCCTGTGGACTGCTGGACCTCCACAGCCTGGGCATCGTCTACCGGGACCTGAAGCCTGAGAACGTGCTGCTCGATGACCTCGGTAACTGCAGGCTGTCTGATATGGGGTTGGCTGTGCAGATCCAGGATGACAGGCCTGTCACCCAGAGGGTGAGTGGCCACCAGAGTTGGACAGGAGTGGGGGGGGTAAACAGCTGTGGACTTACTGCTTCTGATTTTCTTTTCCCGGAAGCCCTTATGTGTCATCTTGCTGTAGGTAAAATGGAACCTGAGCATCGCCTAATTGGCCCCATGGAGGCCATTTTGCTCTCTGGTTGTGGGGGATGGGGAGACCTCTCTGTGAGTTGGGGTTCCACGGGAAGGTGGAAAGAGCTAAATCCGTGGTCAGGATCTAAGTACGTTCCACCGGCAGCCACCTCCACAGTGCCTGTCCTGATCCCATAGTGTCTTGGTTTCCTCTTCTAGAAAATGAGGGGCTAGACCTTAAGCTTTCATGGTCCTGGGAGACAAACTTTAATAAGACAAGTAAAAGAAGAATTGCCTCACCCTTAGCACGTTAAAAGTAAAAGCTCTCCTTTACTGTTGAGTGTGGAATGGGTGGAGGGGTCTCAGCTTGGAGGAAAGTTCAATTTTGCTTAAAAGTAGAATTTACTTGGGCCAGGGATTTAACTCTGTGGTACTGCTGCCTGCCTCACAAGCAGAAGGTCCCGAGTTCGATCTCTGGTACAAAAAAAAAAAAAACTTTAGCAAAAGTAGAATTTACTTAAGCTTTTATGTTAACTGAACTATATGACATCTCTGGACGCCTAATAGGTCTTTACCACTGAGTTTCTGTGCCTGAAGGTGTGAGATTCCCCTGGAAAACAAGGGCTGATTTCAAATTTGGAAAAATTCATTTAGCACTTTCTTTTTGTACAGTTTTCAGCATGAAGCACATTTCAGGCAAGGAAATGAGAAAAATCATGGAAAGTTTGGGGACTAGCAGATGATTTTATGTAGTATAAGGGAATTTTCTAAGATACTCAGGGCTCAGCTCAAGCAAAAGCATTGAATGCCTTCTTGTGGGGAATAAGGAGCCACTGACGCATTTTAAGAAGAATGATATGAACAGATTTGCCTTTTTAAAAGACCAACCCAACCAGTTGTGGTGGTGCACACCTGTAATCCTAGCACTCTGGAAGGCTGAGGCCAGAGCAACACAAGTTCAAACCCAGTCTAGGCAGCTTTGTGACTTATTGAGATCCTGTCTCAGTTTTAAAAGGTCTGGGGATACAACTCAGTGCAAAGGCCCTGAGTTCAATTCTCAGTACCAACAAAAACAAAACAAACAAAGCAACCCAGCATCAGTCTGGAAGGTCGTAGGAGTCAGGAAAGCTAGTTAAGAGACTAATATAGGGCTGGGCATTTAGCTCAGTGGCATGGCACCTTCTTCACAAGCACAAGGTCCTGAGTTCAATCTCTAGTACAGGGAGGAAAAAAAAAAGAGGCTAATGCAGTGGCCCAGGCAAGAGACAGTGGTGTCTGTCGATCAGTGGGACTGAAGAAGTGGGAGCAAACTGGAGCTAACAGGAGACCCCATGGGACTTTGGACCTTCAGGTAGAAGGAGGAGGCTACTTGCTCCAGGAACAGGAAGGAGGAGCAGAATTGTGGGACAGTTGCCAGGTTCAGGTGTGATCATACTGTCCGTGAGATCTCTGGAGGACAGGTGGCTGGAGATGTTCACTGGGCATTGAGACCTGTGGATCCAGGGCTGTGCATTTGCTATCATCATGGACAGCAGTAGGAACCACTGAGTCACTTGGTAAATAGTGGGGAAGAGAGCCAGGACTGAAGCTGAGGAATACTAACATGGAGGGGACGTAGGAGGGGCAAGAGTGCCATAGTCACGAGAGCCAGATTTCAACTGTGTATCATAGAAAATCCAATGGATTAAACAAGACAGAGCTTATATTTTTTATGGAACCAGGTAGGGAGATAAGAAGCTGCCAGCATTAGGTCAGGAGCTGTAGGATGATGGAATCCATGTCTTTATAATTTTTGACTTTTTCCATGTGTTACAAGATGGTTGCTCTAGCCCCAACCATCAAGACTGTGTTCCAGGCAGGAGAAAGGAAGACAGGTCAGAAATAGATGACATGCATACACCAATCAACTGTCTCCCCCCACTTTAAGGAGCTTTACTTGTAGCACATCTAATAGTTTCCATTTAGATTTCATTGGCTAGTACTGCTACTTGGTCACCCCTACCCGCAGAAGCCAATAGATGGCATGGTGTTTGGGGAGGGGAACAAGGAGTCCTAGTTAGTAAGAAAGAAGAAAGGCTGGATCTTGCACAGGTAACTAGCAGCCTCTGACATAGGTGCCAAAGGAGCAGAGGATTTCAGGGAGTAGCTGGCCAGCAGTGCTGAAGGCTGCAGAGGTTTAGGACACCTTGGTGTCCTTGGTAAGAGCACCTTGACAGGACTGAGGCCCAGCTCAGGTGGTGGAGGTTAGACTGACCCAAAGTAGAGGGTGAGATGGAGGAAGGAGATAGTCTGGTCCCTCGAGAGGTCACAGGAGAACAGAGCTGGGAGGTAGAAAGGGTGACCAATTTGGATGCCAGGCAAGAGGCTGTAGGGCTGGTCCTGACTCTAGAGGAAAAGAAGAGGGGGAAGAGCAGGGAGGATGGGAGAATGCACTTAGGTGACATCAGCTACTAAGTGGGTTGGGACAAGGACAGATGGGGAGAAGCAGAGCATTTGCCTCTTCAGGACCTTAGTCCGGGACAGGAAGGTGGGGAATCCGTGTCTGTGTGACAAACAGGTGCACTAGCTCATGGATCTGAACCTGCACTATGCACTCCACAGAGTAGAAGCTGTTCTGAGTGCTGCAAATGAATGAGTCCTGCCAAGTGCTGATACATCCCCTCCTTGCTGGAAACTCAGGAGATGCCCACACCTTTGACTGCCTTGTGAATCTTCAAGCTGCCTCTGGCTCTGTGCTGGACCAGGAGAGTTTTTAGGACAGTACCTCCACTGGCTCCTGTGTCTAGCTCTGGAACCTGCAGGAAGCTGTGTGTCTCCCCAGTATTGCCCACCGTCATCAAGGGACTTAGTGGAGAGCTTTCCAGCCGGGAGACACCTGGCCCTTTTCCCTCTACTTCCTCTCTGCCCCATGGAACTGAGAAGTCTCAGGCCCCAGTGCCCAGCCTGCCACGGAAGCCAAACAGGGTCAGAGGGAGTGGGGAGAGAAAGAGAGCAAGATCAGAAGCCATGAAGGAAAGCCAGAAAAAAGGAAGGCAACCCTTCTTCTTTGTCTCCCTCATCCCCAGAGCAAAGCAAACTTTTGTTTCCCAGGTATTGCTGCTCCCCCAAGAGGGTTTGAAGGACCTGTTATATTTACACCATATCACAGGCAAAATGAAAAGTGACTAAAACTATGACTATTCTGTAGCCATGAACATTCAGTTGTGATGCAAAGACACTATATAAAGCTGGGCACGGGGGTGCATGCCTGTAATACTAGCTACCTGGGAGGCTGAGGCAAGAGATTCACGAGAGCATCCTGGGCAACACCACAAGACCCTGTCTCGAAAAGAAATGAAAAGGTCTGGGGATATAGCATTATAGCTGTTGCCTACCATACAGAAAAGGCCATGTGTTCAAGCCCCCATACCCACCCCACACACAAAGATACTATGTAAAATAATTATTGCGACCACTGGGGAGATGTGAGAAGGATTGATCACCCTGATTGTGGAGGTTCATATGTGTATTGACTGTACAGTCATCCAGAAAAGTTAAGGTACTGTGGCTAGTTTTCCTCATTCCACAACTTGTCCAGTTTTGTATAAGCTGGGATTGCCTTTTGTTACATTTAACAGAATATCAGTTTCTGGTATGGAGTTGGCAGCTCAATGATTTCAGGGACAAGATCTCTGTTGGCCTTTTCCTCCTTTCCACAGGATAGCTGTTACAATTCCAAACACTGGGTCCACATTCCAGGATAGGGAAAGGAGAGAAAGGAGTAATGTCCACAAACTTCTGCTTATATCCTTCTTGGCAGGACCATGTCATATGTTCACCTCTCACTACAAGGGAGACTGAAGGATAGAATACAGTAAAACCTTGGTTTGCAAGTATAATTTGTCCCAGAAACATGCCTGTAATCCAAAGCACTTGTATATTAAAGTAAACTTCCCCATAAGAAATGATGAGAAACTCAGACAATTTGTTCCACAACCCAAAAATATTCACATAAAAATGATTACAATATTGTATATTACAAAATAATAAATAAAATACAAAGTATAAAAACAAATTAACCTGCACTTACTTTTGAAAACTTTCATGGCTGTTGTGAGGGAGACAAGAGGGAGGAAGGTTATCGTGTAGGACAATAACACAGTCCTCACATTCTCCTCAGTGCTCGCTGTCGCTAACAGAATCTCTGCTATCTATGGGCTTGATGGAATCTTTTTCTTTTCTTGCAATTTTAGCAAGGAACCTATCCTATGACACTTGCTTTTGCCTCCTTTTGAGGATTTCGCGGAAATGTGACATTGCATTGTTGTTAAACAGATTCATCGTTCACACTGCTACGGCCTTATTCAGGTGGTGCTTTTTACAAAACTTTACACTGTTTCCCACATTTTACACATCTCCCTAATCTCGTTTGAAGTGAGGGATTCCTCTTCCTTTTTCTCCTCCACATCTGCAGATAAGATCTCCTCCAGAACCTCTTGCCGTTGGGAGAGGATCACCCACAATCCTGCAGCAAGAGAGAGAGAAGCACCATTGGCTCAGTTGTGATAATGTGATGTTCAGTGATGTACTAGGTGTATTACAAGACATCACTCCTTTATCAAGTTAAAATTTATTAGAAATGTTTGCTCATCTTATCAAATACTCGAAGAACAAGTTACTTGCCATCCAAAGTTTTATTGTATTTCATTTTGGGGGAAAAGAGAAGTGAGATGAGGTGCTAGGTGAGATGACAGTATCTGTCATGTAGGGCCCCAGGAAAAAATAGTGATGAGGATTAGGAAGTCTGGTTCAATTTCCTGACAGATATTAAAACCTATAAAATAACCATTACAATGATGGGCTAGACAGAATTCTAAGATACTTGCCTACAAGATCCTTTCTCCTGTACTATACACCCACTTTTC